AGGCGGGGAGCCCGGGGCGCTCGCTGCTCCTGCTCGGCGTTCAGATCACACAGAACCGCGTTATTTGTGTTTCTGTACCGTAATAAGAGAAAAGCCCTCACAACAGTGACCCGGGTGCGCTCGGGACGCTGCCCTTGGTCTTTAAACCTCTTTCCGCAGAGCTCAGACGCATCCTTGGGTTCCTGCTGGCTTCCTGCGCCCCCAGCCAAGCGCGCTGCACCGCCCCGCACCTCGGCGTGATGCTCAAAGCGCTGAACGTCATTAAAGAGAGGTCAACTAGTTCGGGCTTTTCTGATGCGCTACCAGAGAGAAGGGGGAAAAGCCGTGGGGAGGGGAGAATAGAAAGTGGAAAGGGGATGCAGGTGGTGACCAGGCTCTCTGGAGTGAGGAGGTACCAGAGAGTAAGAAGGCAGTAGCAGGGATTTGCTCCAAAATAGGATGTCTGCTCCTTTTCTTGTAATATTAAAAAAGCAAAACCAAACCCAACAAATTGAAACTTCAATTAGTCTATATTCAATACCTTTTACAGCACATCCAATAAAACAGTGTAAGAAGATGCCCCTTGGCCCACCATTGGCAAGAATGCTCTGCTGCTGGTCCAACAGGGCGTTCCCAAATCAATAAGACAGCTAGAAGACATCTCTAGTTGCCAGGAACTCGACTGTTTATGTCATTGTATTTCCTTGGTGGGAAAAAAATGGTTAATCACCAGGGAGGGGGGAAAAAACTCAACTATTTAAAGGAAAAGTTCTAAACAAGAATAAATGGGTAAAAACTTGCTATACATTAATACTGCTTGAAAACAAAGACTTATAACCATAAAAGGGTGATACTTCTTTTAGGGGTTTGCCTTTCTTGCTCATCTGCACAAGATAAACCTCAGATTAAGATTCTTCCTGAGCACAGGTTTTTCCATCCAGTCTTCCCATTTCCATTACTCATTTTTAGTTGAGTTTTTATGTACATGTTCTGGCTGATAAAATGAATCAGCAGATGACCTCAGCCCTCCACAGAACAATCTAACCCGTGGAGAAGTTCTACGAAGTTCAGGAAGGCCAAGCGTAAGGTCTTGCACCTGGGAAAACATAATCCAGGAGTGCAGCACAGGCTGGGATCTGCCTGGCTGGGGAGCAGCTCTGTGGAAGGGACCTGGGGGTCCTGGTGAACAACAAGCTCAAGTATGAGTGAACAGGGTGCTGCTGCCACAAAGAAAGCCAGCGGGTGCTGGGCTGCATCAGCAAGGGCATCACCAGCAGAGATAGTGATTATCCCACTCAGCACCTGTCAGGCCACACCTGAAATACTGTGCTCAGTTGTGGTCCCTGCTATACAAAAAAGCTGTGGACAGGCTGGAGAGGGCCCAGAGAAGGGCCACAAAGATGATCAGGGGACGGGGAGCCTGCCCTGTGAGGAGAGGCTGAGAGAGCTGGGTTTGTTCAGCCTTGGGAAGAGAAGGCTTAGGGCAGACCTCATCACCCTGCTCCAGTATTGAAAGGGTGGCTACAGAGCAGGTGGAGATTCCCCTTTTTACAAGGAGCCACATGGAAAAGATGAGGGGTAATGGGTACAAGTTACTCCTGGGGAGATTCCACTTGGACACAAGAGGAAAATTTTTCACAATGAGAACAATCAGCCACTGGAATAATTTCCCCAGGGAAGTGGTGGATTCCCCACCATTAGACACTTTTAAAGATTCAGCTGGATAGATGCTGGGCCATCTTGTCTAGACTGTGCTTTTGCCAAGGAAGGATGGGCCAGGTGATTCTTGAGGTCCCTTCCAAGCTGGGATTCTGTGATCCTATGAAGACAGTGGTTGGTGTGAGTTTGTCCATTGCTCTTTTTTCTCCTGTGTAAAGGGGCCTTCCAAAATAAAACCAGTCTTTAAAAAAATTTTAAATGGATATCACTAGCAGGATCTAAGATTACTAAAAATGAATACTTTAAATTGCACCTTCTTCTCAACATTTCTGCCAGCCCAATCAA